GCTGGAGAACAAGAAAAGAAGAGAATGAAAGCACACAAGGGAAGGGATGTTCTTTCATCCTTAGCCAGATTCAGCACCACTCTGCTTGATAGCTGGGTCGGGCTCGGCAGCCTCATCTCTCTGCTGTAGACCTGTGGCTTGGTCCTGCATCTGCTGCACTTGACCCAACTTGGACTCAACTTTTGCCAGTTCCGTCCCCTAGCCTAGCCCTTTGTCGGCAACTGCAGTTTCTTGCTTCGATAAGGAAGAGCCATGCTTGGCAAGGGGATGTCTTTTGGCCGGCTGGTGTCAGGGTGTGGGGGCTGACTAGCAGCACTTTTTCCCTTCGGCTCCCCATTATCTCTGACACCCCAATCTTCCCCACATTCCGTCCTCCGAGGCGTGCATGGATTAGCTGCTGGGAAGATGCCTGTGATGAAAGGGCTGTTGGCCCCGCAAAACACTTTCTTGGATACTATAGCTACCAGATTCGACGGGACCCGTAAGTGTTAATGAATGCATTGGCTGTCATGTATCCCTAGATAATCGGATGGGTCTCATGGGTCCTCTATGAGCCTATCCAGCTAATAGAGGCTTATCGGACCTTTGTGTGCCCACTTCACCAGTAAGAGCCAGGTCTTTGTTTAATTACAGCTAGAGAAAGAACAAAGGTGGACGTGCTATGCTTTCGCATCTGAAGTATACCTAGTGCTGGGCTTTGACACTATTCACCACCAGCTCCAGTCATTTATCCCCCAATCCGAGATCATTGACCAGTGATGGGGTAAACCCGATCATTATGTTCGTAGTGTTATTCTGCGCTTCCATTCTTGTGATGGTATGTCATATAGCAAGAATCGTAGCACTTTGTAGCAGAAACCCAATACCTCGAAGGGTATGCAATATTTAACATGGGCACCACTGCTTAACCCATGCAGGGTCTGGCTGATGCATGTGTTGGCTAAGCCCGAGGCTTCTAGAAGCATGTTTTGGATGCTGAGAAAAGCAGAATTCCACATTCACCTCTAATCATGATAGACTATTGCTTTGCTAAATGATTGATCAATGCAACATGTATCGGTTCAGGAGACTGCAACATTACTGGCAGCTCATGTGTTAAAAGTGTATTGTTTGCAGTATCTCTGTGTTGAGACACTCATGATGATTTGTAGAAACGTGAGCACTTACTACACTTGTGGAATGAGAAGATGTCATGTTTAGTAGTATTCCTGCTTCACAATCTGCACTGGTTTGTACAAAGGGGACTGTTCTAGGCAAATGTTGCCATCAAACAGCCCTTTCTTTCAATGAGCTCAGCTTAAAGACTATCTAAGTCCCCTATGTGGTCCTCTGGACTGCTCATGTGCTCTAGGATGAACTGCATACCCGAAATCACAATTCAGCTGCCTGGAAAGTGTTCACCAGCACCCAGTGTATTTAACTCTTTTTCTTCTCCTTTATCTAGCTTCAGCTACTCCGGGGACTACTCAATATACAGCTGGTTAGCAGATTTTACAATGCAATTACTGAGGCAATGATATGTGTCTAGCTTTGCAATTTGATTACTGGGAGATCCAAGGCAGATAATGATAGAAGGCTTGTAATGTGCTTATAGCACGCTGTTAGTTGGATTTCCAGTCCAGCCATTGCCTCTGATACTGGTCTGAGCTGTCAGCTTCAGCACCATGGACAGCGTCGGGGGTCTATCAGCTAAAGCTGGCCATACACCTTACAATTATCTGCAGATTTTCTGTGGTCAGATGGAAAATGTGCAACAGATTCCTCCATCTACATGTAACTGTGTGGATGGAGTAATCTCCACCTGGGCCAATCTGTTGCACTTTTTCCATCTGACCACAGAAAATCTGCAGATAATTGTAAGGTGTATGGGCACCTTTTGCTGGCCCTGACCTGTAGATTGCAAGGGGCAACAGGGAAGAGGATTTATAACGACCAAACCACAAAGCTTTACAGCAGAATCCACCAACCTTTGTGAGCCTGACAGCCATTTCTCAGAGTAACAAGTGATGGTGGAGCCACACAATGCAAACCATTTAACCATAAGTATATTATTTTAAAGATTATGCTTTATATAGCCTTATGTGATGCAAGGTCTGTATATGGTGGAATATGGCACAGGTATAGTGGAGGGGGTGTTCACACAGGCAGGTACTCTGATTAGAATATACTTCAAACAATATTAGAGTGTGTTATGAACCATATGTAGCCTCTGGTTGCACTGCTTCAATACAAGAAGTAGGATATAGACATACCTCTTAGCAACAGCCATGTGGCATGTTGCCTAAGGAAATGACCCTCTTATCACCAAATATCCTGTACACATCTCTCCTGCCAGGAACATGAGCTTTATGAAAATGATATGGAAAACTTCACTTTGTTTAATTTACCTAGCTAAGATTTCCACATAGGTTCCTCTGTGCCTGTTTATTCAACTGAACCACTGAGCTAGTGCATAACTAAGGTGGTGGGTAAAGGGGGCACTTGTAATTAAGCCCATAAGGTCAGGGTGCCCTTAATTTACGTCTAATAATTACGTCTTCCTTTTATTTACCATCTGTGTGCTCACATTATATTGACAATAAACCAGCAATGTATGTTCCTCTAGATTCCCTTCTCCTCTCTCTTATATCTTACTTAAAAATATCTTACTTAAAAATATAGAAAAGTAATAAACATCTCAAAATGTGACTGTTTGCCACAATATAATTTAAAAAATCATGAGCGGCTAAAGAGAATGGTTACATTTTATTTTGCATGAGACATGATAAGGTTCAGGTTAATCTTTTTCCTGCAGTGTTTACTGTTTTTTTAATTATGCCTTTGCCACTGTGTACTCTGCACCTTGTCAGCTATGCTCAGGTCTGAAGTAAAATACCTAGATACAAGCCTAAGAGGATGTAGACAGAATGTATCTGTGGCTGCTAGTTGGCACTGTTGGTTCTCCTGTTAGTGTGCTGTTTACAGATGAATAGTGTGTGGAGTTGGATACATTTGTTTTCTCTCCGATTAAATCAAATGACTGGAATATGGTTGCCTGCAGTTATAGTTGAACAAAGAAATTACAAATCTTAGTGATTTATTCATGTGTAAAGCGTCTAGTTTAAATGAAACGCTGCTGGAGGGAAAAAATAATGAAAATTCACAGGAAGATGACTATGCTAAAGCAATAATGATTTGTAAAATTTAATGATGAGGAAAAGTAAATGAATAATAATAACACAATTCTGTGGCTCTCTGATGGTAACAGTTGCTGTCCAATATGGTTCAAAAGGAAATTGACATTGTATCAGGAAATGCAACTTCATGACTGGTTTGTAGGGTTAATTTCTCCTTTTTTTTTTAGCTTTTCTTTACATACCCCTGATGCTGCCAATCCAGAAAACTAGGCATGAACTAGTTGCGCTGAGTAGGAGGGAAGAGGTAGATCCCTATAGCAAGTGGGGAAAACAAGATTGGGATCTTCTACCATGCATATACTTTATCACTGTGGGGTTGATCCACCAAAAAAGGGGTAACCCTCCCAAAACACTTGTGTCTGATGGTAGCAAACACTGCAACCCCTATTCCCGTTAACTGGTCTATCATGATTATAAAATGCTGTTTATTTGTACCTTTTTTGTAGATGTGTTCAGTCATGTTTCTAATCTGTTTCTTACCCAGTGTTAGACCTGAAGAAGAGGGACACCCAATTCCCTGAAATACATTGGCTATGTTTTATGGCATACACCAATAAAGTGATCACTGTTCTCCGACTGGCTGGAGTTTCCAAGACTTTCTATTCATGCACAGTGCTCCTTACCTACCTCCACAAACTGGGTCATCAGACTTATTTTCAACATATTAAAAATCGTGAAAAGTATCACATAAGCTGCTTACGGAGATAACACTATGCCCACAGAATATGCTGCTATGTTTGTGTCATGCTGTTTATTACCTGTAATACCTGTCCTTTTCCTTGTTGGAAAAAGTTGAAAATCTTGAAATAAAGAATTTATAAAAAAAAATCGTGAAAAATCAAAATCACACAGCTTTAAAATTAAATCAATGCAATTTTTTAATTTTACATCTTGCTCTGGATTTACACTTTAACCAAACTCTGGAATATATAGAGTGTATACAACATGTAAATAAACATTGGTGCGCCTCTAATAGGACTGTATTCATACTGCAGCAGGGGACAGTAGATTTTCACTTGCTTGTGGCAGGGGAAAAACTGAAATGATTAGCTCTTATGGGCTTTTCACCAGTGTATTTTTTATCTCTTCGTTTTGCTACAGTTCCTCCCAAATCTGCTTTGATGGCTTCAACTTCAATCGTTTAATAATCTCCAAAAGCCTGAAGGGATTGAGGTGAAATGTAAGCAAACTCAGATTGAGGGAAATTGCCTGGCTTCACTAATGCTCGTCTCTGTCTGTGTACACAGTCTGGCACACTGTAGTTCCAACCTCAACCCTGCCAGTCCAGCTCTCTGTAGCTCTAGTTTCTTCATGCTTATAGTCCAATCCTCTGTGGATAAAGCCTCATCACGGTCCCATTGTCCAGCTCCTTGTGGCTGCAAAATGAGTTACAGCAGAACACTGGGGATTTTCCTTTGGGACAAATTCTCCTTTATATTACATGTGGGTGGTGCTGCGTTAGTTAAAGGAGAACTATAGAGTTAAGGCTTTTCCCCATAGTTCTCCTTAGGGTAACGGGAGGACACAAACTAGCGTCCTCCCGTCACCCTGGGCTCAGTATACCGCGAGACACCTCAGTATACCGCAAGACACCTCTGAGACGCCGCAGCTGAAGCGGATCCCAACAATTATGTCTGGATCCGCCCAGCTGCGTGACTGACAGCCTATCTAGAGGCAGAGCCAGCTGTACCCGCCCCCTCCCCGTCCGTTCCGCCAGTCAGCGCTGGCGGATCGGAGCGGGGATCCAGCCACTCCCCTGTCACGGCAGAGAGCCGTGACAGGATCGAGAGGGGAGCGAACACCGGTATGTGTTCGCTCACCTCCCGATCTATTAAGCCGACTTGTGACAGTCTCATTGTCACAGGTCGGCTAGAACTATGAGGTGAGTGAAAAGCACTCACCTCATAGTTCTCCTTTAAAATCAATACTTTAATTCATCCCAAAGAGTACTGTAAGCACTGAACATCCAGTGCTGAAACTCAAATAGTACAGTGATGATTGTGAGTCACTCACTCTCCACCTTGTCCATTTATAACATGTTGTATTCATTTCACAGAATACTAGACTCTGTGTGATTGGATGAGGGGAGATTGTGACATTTATCCATCCTGTTCCCTCTCCCCTATCACCACTTTTATATTATTATTATTCAGGATTTGTATAGTGCCAACAGTTTGCACAGGGCTTTACAATATAAGATAGACATTACAGTTACAATACAGATCAAGACAAGATGGTAAGGAGGGCCCTGCCCGTGAGAGCTTACATTCTAAAAGGGAGGGGCAAGTGATATAAGAGGTGGTAG